AATTCTTCACACAGTGTATAGTGTTTATTAGTATTATTTAATTTCGCAGTGTATAGTGATCACTATTGGTATCTAATGTCACAGTGTATAGTGTTTATTAGTATTATTTAATTTCGCAGTGTATAGTGATCACTATTGGTATCTAATGTCACAGTGTATAGTGTTATTTACTATCCCCGTGTATAGTGGATGTTTATTTTATCTAAAGTCATACCACTGTTATTTAATTTCACAATGTATAGTTATCACTATTATCTACTATCCCTATGTACAGTGGATGTTCATGTCATCTAATCGCACACTACTGTTATTTAATTGTACAATGTATAGTGATCACTATTAATGAGTATATCCCCGTGTATAGTAGTTGTTCATGTTATCTAATACACAGTGTATAATTATTATTAGTGGTGTCTACTGTCACAGTGTATAGTGTTAATTAGTGTTATCTAATGTCACAGTGTACAGTGTTAATTAGTGTTATCTAATGTCACAGTGTATAGTGTTAATTAGTGTTATCTAATGTCACAGTGTATAGTGTTATATACTATCCCCGTGTATAGTTGATGTTCATGTTATCTAATGTTACAGTGTATAGTGTTATATACTGTCACAGTGTATATTGATCACTATTGTTATTTTATGTCACAGTGTATAGTGATTATTAGTGGTATTTATTGTCACAGTTTATAGTGTTTATTAGTGTTATCTAATGTCACAGTGTATAGTGATTATTAGTGGTATCTATTGTCACAGTGTATAGTGTTTATTAGTGTTATCTAATGTCACAGTGTATAGTGATTATTAGTGTTATCTAATGTCACAATGTATAGTGATTATTAGTGGTATCTATTGTCACAGTGTATAGTGTTTATTAGTTTTATCTAATGTCACAGTGTATAGTGATTATTAGTGTTATCTAATGTCACAATGTATAGTGATTATTAGTGTTATCTAATGTCACAGTGTATAGTGATTATTAGTGGTATCTATTGTCACAGTGTATAGTGTTTATTAGTGTTATCTAATGTCACAGTGTATAGTGATTATTAGTGGTATCTATTGTCACAGTGTATAGTGTTTATTAGTTTTATCTAATGCCACAGTGTATAGTGATTATTAGTGGTATCTATTGTTACAGTGTATAGTGTTTATTAGTTTTACCTATTGTCACAGTGTATAGTGATCACTATTGTTATTTTATGTCACAGTGTATGATCATCACTTCCGTGTATAGGGGATGTTCATGTTACCTTCTGACACTCTAATTTTATATTTTTAAAACCACGCTCTGTTACTACGTGTCTGTAACTATTGCATGCTTGTTTCATATACAATTACACATCTTTATGTAACTCAGAAGTCATTTTTACAAAGATATTTTCAGCATTCAGACTTGAAAGCGTAATCTGTTATTTTCACTTTCCTCGGAAGTTTCGATTCGCTGCTTGCTGTTAGTCCAAAATCCTTTAGAAAAAACAATATGCAACTGGAATGAAATATTTCTTACAGTAATATAACAAAGCTAACAAATATTTGATTTAACACTAATCTTGAAGTAAAAGTGGAGATTTGTGAATCAAAATTTAATTTTAGTTTCAGTATATTCATCAAATGCGTACAAACGCAAACCGACCATAATCATAAGCTTTTCCCTTTCCCGGTTTTCCTAGTTACAGAACCACCAAACAGAAACATCGCGTTTCTCGTGAGAATTGTTTTCCTGAAAACATTCACTGCGTCCTAAAACTGCTTTCCATGGGACGTCAAATTTTAATATTACATAAAATAAATATTATTATCGCTGTTAACTTCCGTATGCAATGACATGCAAACATTACAATGCGTGCAGTGAATCCCAGTCGTTCACTTACCTATATAAACCCGTACATGTTACAGAAACGTAATGTGTTGATTACTGTGTAAGGTTTACAAATTCATACGCGAGGCAGCACCCATTAACATATGAAAGCGGTGCCTAAACCTTAACGATTATTCAATAAATATATCATTGGTGATAGATGTAAATATAACATATTGATTTAGTATAGTATATGCTGTATGCTGAAATCAGATGTTAAAAGTATTTCAACCTTTATACCAATTAACTGTTGAATTGCCCCACAGATGGGACTTTGATATAAACATAATTTTTAATATTTCAAATAGTATTTCAAGTAGTAAATTCCGTTAATGTAATGACATTAATGTATTTGTATAATTTAATTTATTAGGGCAGTTATTTTTAGCAACAAATTTTAGTAACTCCAGTATATCTAGTTTTTAAAAACAGTTTATCTAATCATAAATTTCAATAGCTTATATGTAATATCCTGAAATTTGCTTATTAACAGCTTTTCTTGTAGTAAATTTCAATGTGTTCTTTACGTACACGAACGTTGTTTAATTAAAACAGTTCTTCAAACAGCAAACTCCATTACCATGCGTTCACATACTAACATACGATAGTTTACAGATAGTGTATCATGAAGTCTGTAATATTATTTTTATAACGAACCTTTCCTTAATTCATAGAACTTTACACATTTATTAGCCACTGTCTCCTTATCATGCGCAAATATTTTAATCATGTTTCTAAAACTGTTTAATATTTTCGTTACCTTTGTTCCAACTTTGTGTTTGATTTTCGGCCTCTCTAAGCAGGCATATAGCATATAGCTAAATGATGTAATAGTAACTAGTTAACAGTAGCTGAATGATGTAATAGTAACTAGTTAACAGTAGCTGAATGATGTAATGGTAACTAGTTACCAGTAGCTAAATGATGTAATAGTAACTAGTTAACAGTAGCTGAATGATGTAATGGTAACTAGTTACCAGTAGCTAAATGATGTAATAGTAACTACTTAGCAGTAGCTAAATGATGTAATAGTAACTAGTTAGCTGTAGCTAAATGATGTAATAGTAACTAGTTAGCAGTAGCTAATTAATGTTACAGTAACCAGTTAGCAATAGCTGAAAGATGTAGTAGTAACTAGTTAGCTGTAGCTAAATGATGTAATAGTAACTAGTTATCTGTAGCTAAATGATATAATTGTAACTAGGCCAAAAATCAATAATTTATCTTTTTTCCACCAGGACATGACCATGGACTGGCTTTACTTCATTCTGCTGTTTCTTATATTTCGTCTTTGTTTATTGGTTGAAGGTAAGTTATTTTATTTTGGTTCATTATTCTTATTTACTGTTTTTTTGTGTTACTTTTCCACATCTTCGTTATCTTACATATAAATATATAAGTGTACATGATGAAAGTCACAAGATGCTAGATGAAAACAGATGAATTAAGCACTTGATTAGAGGTTGTTGTTCAAAACTTATGTTAATCACAACTGTCATGCTCTAACTTTGTTGCGTACCACATATCAGGGAAACACATAATATACGGCGCCGCTAATAGCGGACGGATATTGTTAAATACGTTATTAGGAAGATTTTTCGTCGGCCTCAATTTATCCATATTCAGCAAAGGGGTAAAATATCCCCTTTCTCTCTGAACGACCCTAGTTTATGTATATATACACATACGAAATGTTTTCGAATTGTCTTGTTTTCTAAGGCTTCTCTTGTATCAGTATTAATTTAAACTTACGTCATTTTGTAACTCAGGCATACCGTTAAGTACAGTGAAATGTCAGCTAGATTATACAACTCTTCATGAATAAATTATGATTCCAACAGGACAAAACTGTTTCGGAGGTATTGAGTCCTACGAAAAGAGCACGAACCTCGCATTTGCCAGTCATGTCCGATCGAACACAATACTGGAACGCCAAGGCCAGTCTCTCACTAGAGACTGTATCAACTTATGTAAACAAGAAGCCCAGTGTTATTCGTTTGCTTTGGATTATCCTGAGTTTCGGTGTTTCTCCTACAGTGTAAATTCTATCGGACGGAGAGATCTACTTGTGGATCAACCAAGGACTAATTTCTTTGAAAAGATATGCATCCGCGGAGGTTAGTAAATACCTAGACAAGATATACATAAACATATTAATAAATCCCGAAAAATTAGTTCTAACAAATATATTTAGGAAACATTTATAGTCGGAAAAAGATTATTTCGTTTTATATATATATGTAAATGATAATTAGAAACACATACACACACACACACACACACACACATATATATATCCACAGAGAACTAAATATTGTTATAACTCAACTACTAAACATTACTGTGGAAGCAGTTGTAGTTAAGTACTATTTGTGTAACTCAACTACTAAACATTACTGTGGAAGCAGTTGTAGTTAAGTACTATTTGTATAACTCAACTACTAAACATTACTGTGGAAGCAGTTGTAGTTAAGTACTATTCGTGTAACTCAACTACTAAACATTACTGTGGAAGCAGTTGTAGTTAAGTACTATTTGTATAACTCAACTACTAAACATTACTGT